GACCAGGTACGAAGCTGATGGAACTCCAAAGTATTACGCTGATGTAGCTCAATTAGTTCGACCTGAACGTAATACACTAACAGTTAGCTTTAAAGATATTGAAAACTTTGACTCCGACTTGGCAGTGACGATACAGCAAGAATATTACAGGTATAGTCATCACAATTTACACCATAACACGCCAAAAAAATAATCCAACTCTAATCAATGTCGTATACTGCATAACCACATGATGATACGCATATATTCCAATGATATCACCTCAGTTATCGTACTTGTTGCCTACGCATACATTCATGTCGTAAATGCTAATTTCCCCTTCCAGCTAGTTGGATACAGATCAATACACGTCTAGCACGCATCAATGTACTGTACTGTTCGTGACCTGTAGAATTATTGCTACTTATTGAATATTTTGTATCAATCGTCATACATTCTCGTATATAGAGTTTTTCCTTATTTATGTCGAGCTGTAAGAAAATGCACTCAAGAACAAGACAAGATACCCCAAGAAAAAGAATTTTTCATCAGTTTTGCTGACTTTGATACTCGACACAAGTAAGTCACTAGCAATACATCGTGCAGGAATTATGAGATAAAAATTTAATGTCTTACAATAACTGGATTATTGACTGTGCGTTGTAATAAAATAATTAAGGGTACGTGAGATGACCACTCAAAAAATTGGCAGTTTGCTCAAAATCAGAGGCCAAGTTGTTCGTACTCATCCTGTCCATCCTGAGCTAATAAATGGTACTTTTATATGTCTTGAATGTCAAGCTGTCATCAAAGATGTCGAACAGCAAATGAAGTTCACTCAGGTAATGAATAAAATCGTTGTAATAAAATGGATGATAGTGGTAATCTATTTCAGTAATTAAAATTATCAAAAGTAGACCGAGACAGATTTCTTGATACTCCTTTTCTTTACAGCCTGTGGTTTGTAGGAATCCTGCCTGCCAAAATCGTTCAAAATTTATGTTAGATGTCGATAAATCAATTTTTGTCGACTTTCAAAAAATACGAATCCAAGAGACCCAAGAAGAGCTTCCCCGAGGCAGCATACCTAGAAGTATGGAAGTGATTTTAAGAGCTGAAGCTGTTGAACAAGCGCAAGCTGGTGATAAATGCGATATTACCGGAACCTTGATTGTAGTGCCGGATGTTTCTCAGTTGAGAACACCTGGTCAGTATTTCAACTTTAATGTTACTTCATACTTAATTGCGGTGTTACGAAATATTTTCAAACAGCACAATTAAACTATTACAAACAACTTTGAATGCTAATAGGTACAACTTCAGAGCCTGCTTCAAAAAGGCGAACTAATGATGGTTATAACAATGATGGCGTAAGGTGGGTTCAAAATTTACTTTCTAAGTGAGTTGCCATATTGAAGTATATTTATTTTTTCCTTCGCAACTTTAGTGGCTTAAAATCATTAGGCGTACGCGAGCTATCCTACAAACTTTCGTTTCTAGCATGCAATGTTACTCCGGTAGATGCAAAGTTTAGTGGACGGGATGCTCTAGGAGATGAAATGACTGCTGAGAGGATCAAGAAACAAATGACAGAGCACGAATGGCAAAAAGTTTATGAAATGAGCTCCGACAAAAATCTCTATCAGAATCTTATTACTAGTTTATTCCCTACAATTCATGGTACAGTTCTATGAAATTATTTTAATGACTATTGTAATTGTAATTTAATATTGTATTAATTGATGCTGTAACAACGACGACATGAGTTGCAATTACAAAAACAGAGCATGTAATAGTATGATACATGTTACTGTAGGACAAGACGAGGTGAA